TGGGATTTTTGGGTTGTTGTATGCGGGCGCGAGATGACATCGGGATTGCAGTTTTGTTTGCGGTGGCCTGCTTACCTGCCTTTCATGCGGAAATGCGTGCACTTGTATGGCATGGGCTGTCGCCCCTGGTGCGCGGGCCCGCCCTGTGCCTCCCCTCCGCGGCTGCGGGGCCGTGGCGCATGGGCCAGGCTGCTCCCTTGCCCTTCGCACCCTTGTTCCCGCGTTTTTCTTGTCATACGTTGACGCGTTCTTGCATTAGTACAGCATAGGCCATCCCCAGCGGTGCGTGGAGCCCGCTCTATGGTTCCACTCCGCGGCTGCGGGACCGCGGCGCTTTGACCAGCTTGCCGCCAAAGGACGCCCCCCTGCACGTAGTTGTTTGTTCTTGTTGCATACCCTGCTTTCGCGTCAGACCATGCGCTGGCCGATGCTCCGCGCCCGCGTCACCGGTGTGGTGCGGGCGGCTTGTGCCCTCTAGTCGCGATGCGTTGATATGCGTTGCGCGCTGGATCTCTTCCATTCCCACTCTCCTTCCCTTCCTTCCCCTTCGCCCCTTCCCCCAGTGTAAGGCTAATTCTGCGGCCAAGTGACCCCTTAGAGCGCTGCTGCTAGCCGCCATGTTGGCGAGGAGCTTTCGCGGGGTCGTGCGTGCCAGTCTGCTTCGGGGGCTCGCCCCTGCGCTCGCCGAGCGCACTTTTGTCAGCACTGTTGTGGCACTGCGTAGTGTTGTCCTGTCCCGGCTGTGCTCGTGTTGGCAGCAGTCGTTGTCAGCCATGGAGGTGGGTTTGGGGCGTTTAGGACTCTGGCAGTCGCCAAGTGTTCCGAGGTTTGGCTCTTCTTCGGCTCCTGTTTCAATCGCCACATTTCGAGAGAGATCTCTCCTTCGTGCGCCTTGTCTTCGGACAGCGCGATTTCCGGATTTCTCTTAGGATCTCTCGGCGTCGGTCGTTCGTTTTGTCACGCATCATCAAGGCTTCGGAGTCGCTTCTCCTTGTCCGCGTCTCCCCTCTTTCCTCCTTTCCTTCCTCTCCCCCTCTGGCATTATATTCACACCGTAATTCATTCTTCTCTCAGGCTGCAGTTTGTCGCATGAGCTTGCCTGTGACAGGTCGGCGTAGCGTTCTTCGTTGACTGGCGAGCGTTTGTTGCACGCGGCGGTGCTAGTCGTACCGTGGTGAGGTTCAGTGGTCGCGCGCTCCTGCGCTCTTCTCCGTCAGGAAAAAGTGTTGCTGGCGATGGGTGAAGAGCATTAAGCTCCTTGCTGAGGATCATGTTGGCTGCGTGTTTCGGCAGCGACGTGAGACCAGTCTGTGTTACAGTTCTGGGCGGACGGGCGAGGAGGAGATGTATTTGGAGACATCTTTTCAGGCTGGCGGGTTGAGATATGCGAGCATGGATGTCAGGTCAGGTGTGGGAGTGAGGGTATTCGGATTGCATTGGCAGGTTGGTGTGTGATAGTATTTTTGTTGTCAGGTGGTTGGGGAGACCGGGTTCGGTTTCAGGCTCGTGGTGATGATCTAAAAGATGGTTTAGGCGGGTGGGTGAGGACATGTGGGCTGCAGACTCCGGAGGATGGGTGAGGATATTGGAGTTGCAGGTTTTGGGCCCGGTTGGCTGGGTATCTTTGGAGTGCAGTTTGGTTACAGGTTACAAAGACATAGCCAGGTTGACTCGAAGACGACGTGCTGCGCCCAGAGATATGCTCTCCTGTTATCTTGCCTGTGGCCCAGACGATGCATGGTTTGTCGTTCTCCCGCGTTTGGCGGTGGACAGGCCGCCTGCCGTTGCGAAGGCTTTTGTGCTCTCCTTTGCCAGTTTTGTCCAGGAGCGTATGTTACCAGCTTCGAACGTATCCCTATCCCTAAGATCGACACGCCAAAAGGCGATGACAATCTTAGGGATTCGCCCTCAAAAGATAAGGGAATCCCTAAGATTGGCATCGTGATGAGGAGGTGCCCAGCATAGGGATAGGGATATGTTCCAGGCTGGTAAGTATGACACGTCCTGGATTGTGTTATTATTATTACTATTATTAGTAGCCGTAGCAGCAGTAGTGGTAGTAGTAATCGTAGTAGTCGTAGTAGCAGCAGCAGTAGTAGTAGTAGTAGTAGTAGTAGTAGTAGTAGTAGTAGTAGTAGTAGTAGTAGTAGTAGTAGTACTAATAGCAGTTGCATTAGCAGTAGATGGTTTAGTAGTATTATTATTAATATTAGTAGTAGTAGCACTAGTAGTAGTAGTAGTAGTAGTAGTAGTAGTAGTAGTCGTAGTCGTAGTCGTAGTTAGTAGTAGTAGTAGTAGTAGTAGTAGTTGTAGTAGTAGTAGTAGTAGTAGTAGTAGTAGTAGTAGTAGTAGTAGTAGTAGTAGTAGTAGTAGTAGTAGTAGTAGTAGTAGTAGTAGTAGTAGTAGTAGTAGTAGTAGTAGTAGTAGTAGTAGTAGTAGTAGTAGTAGTAGTAGTAGTAGTAGTAGTAGTAGCAGCAGTAGTAGTAGTAGTAGTAGTATAGTAGTAGTAGTAGCAGTAGTAGTAGTAGTAGTAGTAGTAGTAGTAGTAGTAGTAGTAGTAGTAGTAGTAGTAGTAGTAGTAGTAGTAGTAGTAGTAGTAGTAGTAGTAGTAGTAGTAGTAGTAGTAGTAGTAGTAGTAGTAGTAGTAGTAGTAGTAGTAGTAGTAGTAGTAGTAGTAGTAGTAGTAGTAGTAGTAGTAGTAGTAGTGGTAGTAGTAGTAGTAGTAGTAGTAGTAGTAGTAGTAGTAGTAGTAGTAGAAGTAGGAGTAGGAGGGGGAGGGGGAGGTGGAGGAGGAGGGGGAGGAGCCAGGAGGAGGATGGAATAGGGAGTCAGGGAGGGGAAGGAGAGCTTCATCAAGATGGGCGAGTGGAACCCGGACGGCTTCTTCATGCCGTTGGCAGCCAGGACATTGGGTCGATTGGCCATCCCAATGGTTGGGATCAGAGGTCAGACACCCCAGCAAGTCGCTCCAGGGGGGGCGCACAGTGTAGGAGTGAAGAGGGGGGCAGCGCCCCGTAGGTTTGGAGCCACGCCGTTCTGGACATATCGTCCTCGCCGTTTTGTCCTTCGTTCCAGTATGTTCTGGGGGCGCCCAGGAGGGAAGAGGGGGGACATGTCGTCCTGGAGCGCTCTGGAGCCGCCGTCCGCGCCCGGGCCGACTGCTGGATGCCTCGCGCAGTGGCCAGTCGTCCTCGGTCGCTGGCCAGGTCCAGGTGCTCAGCCGCCTGCTGCCGGTGTCGCGATCGGCACGCCCGTTGTGCGATGCGTGGTTTGCACGTCGGCGCGAGGGGGTTGGGCGCTGCACCTGGCAGTGGCCCGCTCCGTTTGCGCCTCGGCAGGATGCGCATGCCTGGACGGACGTGGCCGCGTGCGCTGCAAGCTCACCCTCGCTTCCCTGCGCTCCCTCTCGCCGTCTGGAGGCGGAGCGCTAGCTAGCTCTGCCAGGTCAGGGCTGCTCTCTGCCTCCTCTACCCGGCCCGTCTTCTCTCCGCCCCAGTTGGCCACTGCCGAAGGGCGCCAGGAGGGAGCCCAAGGCCTCGGGGAGGTGCAGGCTGAGAAGCAGCCCGGGAGTCCTCTTTGCGGTTTCGACCGCGCTGGGGTTCCGCCCTTGTCTTCTCGTTGGGAAGCGAGCGGGTCCTGACGGAAACGGTTCCCGAGCAGTTTCGACGTTGTCGGCTTCCCAGGGCCTCTTCCACGGGCCCCAGGACTGTCAAGCAGCGGCGCAGGATGAAAAGGTGGTCCTAGGGCAAGCCCCAGGATCCAGGACCCTTTTCCCTCAGGCCCCGTTTTCTTCCATGCCAGTATTACGGTACGGGGCGTGCTTGAAGGAATGCGTCTGGGAGGCTTCAGACCCTGGAGGAGGATTCCTTGTCTGCTGAGGGCAGCGGTGATGGCCATGGCCAAGCCTCAATCTATGTTCCACAAGCTTCCAGACGTAAGTCGGGCCTGTCCCTCTACAAGGGAAACATTCAAAAATAATCAAGACATGCTCTGGGGATGAGTTTTGTATTGTTAGTTTGATGTGTGTTGAGTCTTGTGTTGGCCATTTCTTTTTTCTTGTCGTCCAAGCTCCGCCTGTAGGAGGACATGTCCGACCTAATTCCAGACCGTTCGACAGGTTGTCACTGCGACGCGGCATAGTCTTGTTCTCCTGGTCGGGCAGGTTAGCATCTCATCCCGCTGTCTGGCCTGCCGATGTTCGAGGGCGCGTGCCTCCGCTCATGTTTGCTTTGGCGGTCGGGCCTCCACAGCTCCTGTCTGCTGCTTGCACTGATGTTCTCTCTCTCTCTGTTGTTGCTCTTCCATCCCTGCCTCGCGCCCTTCTGCGCTCCGTGCGAAGTGCTGCTCTCCGTGTCTGGTCTCGGGGGATATCTCTTTACATGCAGCACGCCCGCTTCCTCTCGCAGACCACGGTTTCCTCAACGCTCAGTCGCTTCCCTCTTGCTGGCCCTCCCGCGTGCGTTCCCAGTTTCCTCGGCGAGGTTTGCTGGTTCGCACTGGTGGCAGTCGTGCTGCGTCGAGGTCCTGCGATCGTGCTCTCCACTCTCCTTCCCCTGTAAGAGGTCGCACGCTGGACCTCGGAGATCCTCGAACTGGTCATGCCCGGCGACCAGCGGTGCACATCCCGCCCTCGTATTATTACGTCCAGAGGCGTCCAGTGTATGTAGGGACATCCCGGCAGACACTTCGGGGGCCAGAGGCAGGCAGCAACGACCGGGCCTGCGCCGTTGTTGTCGTGGTCCTCTGGCCCACTGGCGGGCCTACCAAGTCGGTGGCTCCTGGGCCCCCCTGGGGACGGCCGGCGGCGGGGCCAGCTGGGCGGGACCAGGACTGGGACAGATCGTTGCAGAGGTTTTTGGAGAGGTCTCAGAGCGTTCTGGAGCGCTCTGGAACGACCGCGGCGCCCGATGCATCCTCCTCCAGAGCCGCCGGATCTCAGAGATCCCCGCTTGGTCTCGGCCTGATCTTCCCCCGACTCTGGCCCCGTCTTGATCCGCCAGGATGCAGTACACTCCGCGCCTGATGGCCATGAAGTCCGTGTGGGAGGACGTCAGCACCAAGTACAAGAAGGTGGCGATGCAGCGCCCCGCCATCATGGACATCGACGTGCTGTATGCCGAGTTGCCCATCGACAGGCCAGGGCGAAGCAACAACAGCAGCAAGGCACAGCAAGATCTGCACGAGCAGACCGCAGCAGGTGGCGCGCGCGCCGTGCAGCGCGCGGGAGGGCCCGGGGATGCCATGATTTCTGCCGTTGTCGTTGGATCTCGGAGATTTTCCAGCCTCGGGATGCCTTGCAGCAGCTGCGCCGAGCGAGAGCGTTCCAGGGGGGCCCGACTCGTCCCGGACGACCGCCAGAGGCCCGAGTTTCGGCCCGAAAGCCACCAGGCGTCGAAGCGGACGGGGGTGAGGACGGTGCGTGCGTGTGCGTGTGCGTGTGCGTGTGCGTGTGCGTCTGCGCGCGTGTGTGTGTGTGTGTGTGTGTGTGGATCGCATGGGCTGGAGGTTGGGGCAAGGGCTGAAGTGGGAGCTTGTGCTGGCAGCTGTAGCTCGTATGCAGGGCAGGCCCAGGCTGTCCGCCGCAAGAGCGTGCACACTTTTTACGTCGGCGGCTGGGCAGGGACTGCGCTGACGGATAAGGCGTTGGTAGAACAAACGAACGCGAATTAGGCCGCGGTTTACGAGGGAGGAATGAGGAGACGCCCAGCGGTAGTGAAAAGAGAAAAAAGAAAATCGTACACAGGCATTCCACCGTGGATTGTTCCTGAGCCTCGAGGGATGGTGGCCGCGTGTGCATCACCACCGAAGGCCTGTGATTTCATGCACCGCCACCCTTGAAGGTTGAGGAAGTCGATGAATGGAGAGGAAGCGTGCTGCCAAATAATTCCCAGATATCTAAAACATGCTTCAAACATGCTTCAAATATGTGAACACATGTTCGAAACGTTGTTAGAACATGTTTTACACATTTGTTCGGATAGGATTGTTAGAGTGTCCATTGTCATGGCGTCCACAACTTTAAGGCCAGGGGAGAAAACTCGACGGCGGGCGTCTGTGTACGGATGGTCGCTTGGCGCAGGCTGGAGCCGGGAGGCTTTCCTGCCGGCGTTCCGCCTGGCGTGCAATACAGTGGAGGCCCATGCCAGGAAACGCCCTGCTCGCCTCCAGGGTGCCCTGGGTTCCTTGGTCTTCGATGGTCTTGCTGTGGAGCGCGCGACGTTCCCACACCAAAGCTCAGAGCACGTCCTTGGGCCTCAGGCTGGGGCTTCCTGGGGAAGCTTTCCTTGTGCACCGGTCTCCGCTGGATTGCGTGGGCGCTTGCGGAAATTGCGGTTCGGGGCAGCGCGCCGAGTTCGGCCAGACCCGGGGCGCCCGAGAGACCCCCATCGACCTTTGTGGGCGCCGCCGGCTTCGACTTGCTGCGGTTTCGCGCGCCTGCTGCTTCGTTGTGAGAGTTACTGCCGAGGCCGCCCGGCGGCTACCGCCGACCCCGAGAAGCGAGAGCAGCCTGGGCGCAAGAGGCGGTAGGAGGGACGGCCAGAGGCGGCCTTCCGCGCGAGAGCGGGGACCCGATGGCCCTCGGTCCATCCCCCCACACTGCGCCTGGCTCGTGTTCCAAAGTCCTTCGGGGCTCAGTGGGCCCCGGAAGCAGCAGGGCCGTTCTCTCACAGTGTCCGGCAAAAGTGTGTCTTGGAAACGGAAGCGGCAAAGCACGGCGACCGAACACGGCAACAGAAACGGCTCCGCGATTGGAATTGGAGCCATAAACGGGAAGGAAACGGCAACGGAACTGGCAGAAAACGTTGCCAGCACCAGCCAAAAAGCGGCAAATGGAACCGGTGACAAAAAAACGGCCCTGACGTTTCCAGGGCCCACTCAAAGTTTCGGGGATGCTCGGGGGCCTTCTTGGGGGAATCTTGGAGGCCTCTGTGGCCCCTTCGGGTCCATCCCGGGGCATCTTGTGTCGGGGGCCCAGCGCGGATCCAAGAAATCCGCGCGGAGCGCCAAAAGTTTATGTTTATGGCGTGTTTTCGTTGCTTTGTTCTCCTTCTTCTCATTCTGCTTCTTCTTGTTCTCCTTGTCCTTCTTCTTGTTCTTCTTCTTTTCCTTCTTCTTCGTCATCTTCTTGTTCTTCTGCTAGCACCTGGTGGAAATTCCAGGACCTGTGGGTCTGGGGATCGGGCTGGAGGGGCTGGCTTCCAGCGGCCGCGGCGGCGGTGTGCTTCTGCTGGGGCCCCCTCTCGGGCCTCTCCGGCCCTCCGAGCGCCGCCGGGCGTCGCGCGGTGCTGCTCCCGTGCGCACACTGTTACTCGGGAGGGAAAGAAACACACAGACACAATTAATCGTCGATCCCCAGGAACATATGGGAAAATATGGGAAGTGGGGGGGAGGACAGAAAGCCAGACAATATGGGAAAATATGGGGAATCCTTTTATTTGTGTGTATTTATTTGTGCGTCCTTGGGCCCCTTGAATTACGGCGGGCACGTCCCTCTGCAGGAGGAGCATTCAAAAATAGCCAAAAAGATTAGTCGGGGAACGATTCGTTGTACTATTTTTGAACATTTTTGGATTCTGTCCTGCTTTTCCAGAGCCCGATGTTTGCTTTTTGTTTTGATTCTCTTCTGCTTTTCTGCCAGAAATCCGCCTGTCGGAGGACATGCTCGACCTGAGCATACTATCGTGTTCTAGGGTTTCTGTCGGACGCCCTTCTCTTCTCCTCTGCTTGCGCACTTGCGTTCCGATGCCACTGTCCCTGCGTTTCTGCTGCGGAGCATCGAGCGCAAAACCGAAGAGGGTTGTCTAGGGATGAGTGCATGTCAGCGAGTCCAGAGGCAAGTGCGAAAGTCGACGGTTGTCATCAATGACAACAAGTACAAGGGCGCCCAGGGCTCCTATCCAAGTCTCGGGAAGTGCTCGGATTCGGACTCCTTTGCAGACCAGGTTCAGAAGCAGGCGGGCTATTTCTGCGGCAGGTCAAAGCATGAGAAGTGCGCGACGGAGGAGGAGTGCGAGCGCCTCGGCGGCCGGTTCAAGAAGAAGTATTGCATGGAGGCGAAGAAGGGCTCTGGTGCGAGCTGCGGCTGCTGCAAGGAGATTGGGCGCCACGACTCCATGCGCTCTGGCGGCTCCATGAACGTGCAGATCAACGTCCAGTGGTTTGCCCCTGTGGTGAAAAGGTTTTTGTGCGCGCCCGTAGAGGCAAAGTGGGCCAAGACTGGCGCCTCCACGGTCTACATTGGCATGGGGTGGGGCACCGAGGGCGACGTCGAAGGGCTGGATATCGACCTTTCGCTCGTGCCGCTGAACAAGAGGAAGGAGTACATCAAGGATAAGGTTCTCGGCTCCTTCCTCCTCCCCAGGGGGGAAGCTTGATGAACGGGAGGAGGATGACCGCCCCTTCCTTGAGGAGGAGGAGGAGGAGGAGGATTCAGTCAGGAGCAGCATGATGATGAGGAGGAGGAGGAGGAAAAGAGGGCGGCAAGGTCATCTACTTCAACAACAAGCAGCCGAATAGCTTGAGGTGCAGTCATGGCAGCTACGGCTATGCGATGCAGGCCTTTGCCGACGACCGGTCTGGTGATTCTCCGGGCGACGACGAGCTGGTCAAGGTGAACCTGGACTGCCTGACGAAGCAGTTCACAGACATCGAGACGATCGTGGTCGTGGCGAGCATTTACAGGCCGCAGAAGCTTACCTGGAACATGCTGGACTCGGTGTACATGCGCCTCATCTCGGGCGGCCACGAGGAGCAGTGTGATAAGCGCTTAGTGTATAGATTTCGAAAGAGGGGGAGAGGGAGAGAGAGAGAGAGAGGAGTAAAGAGCGAGAGAGAGAGAGATCCAGCTGCCTCATGCACTTCCGCCACCGTGCCAGCGCAGAATTCTCGGTGGCAGCTCTTCGAAAGTGCTAGGGGGCCTGCGGGGAGCCTCTTGGGGCATACGGCTCGAATGCTTGGTTCATGTTCCCACAATTGGCCCTTTGGTGGGCGTCTTGGGGCCCTCTTGGGCAGTCTTGGGCGCCTCTTGTGGCAGTGGTGGGGCTCTTTTAGGCCGTCTTCGAGCTCTCTTGTTGGCCTCTTGGGCCGCCTCGGGAGAGTCTTGGGGGCCTTTGGGGCGGTCTTGGGGTATCGGAAGCACGAAAAGGAAGAACATAAAAACATTGAAAAGCTACGGGAGGGCAATGATTATTGCTTCTCGGGGGCCTCGTGGGGGCCTCTTTTGGCTATTTTGAGGCTTCCTGAGCCCTCTCTGGGCGGAAACCTAGTTTTCTCGTTCTCGTGTTCACACTCTTGGTGCCGTCTTGGGGCCCTCTTGGGCATTCTCGGGCTCCTATTGGGCCGTCTTCGGCGCCTCTTGGGCCGTCGTGGGGCCCCATTGGGGGGCCTCTTGGGCCGACTTGAGGCAGTCCTGGTCGCCTCTTGGGTCGCCTTGCGACTTCTGAAGCTCGAGAAGGCGAGAGCCCGAAACACATGCGAAAACCGATTGGAAATCGATGGTATGTGCCTCTGGAGTTCACCTTGGGACGGCCCCTTGGGGCGAGCGCCTGGACGGCCTCGTGGGCTGTCTTGAAGCCATCTTGGGCCATCGCGAGGCCCAAAGTGGCCCGTCTTGGAGGGACATGGGACCGTCTTGGAGGCACCTGGGCCTCTCGGTTGTGCCCTCGGGACAAAAGGGGGCGAGGCATGCAGCCCGGCGTGCCCCGCGAGGGCGGAGGCCTCTATTTAGAGATTACAGACACCTTGCCAGACAGCAGTTGGCATTCCAGTGCGCCCCAACGTGCTAAAGGGGGCACGCTGGCGGATGTGTGCGCCCGCCGAACTTCGGCCGATTCCAGTCAAGTGAAGTTGTTGCGGCCAGCGTGTTAGGGGAACGTGCCGATTTCGGCTAGATCCGGGGCCCAGGAGGGGCCCAAGCCCTCCTGTTCGCCCGCGCTCGCCCCTGCGAGCAGCGACGACATCGAGGATGTATGCGCACACGTTCGTGTGTGAAAATATAGATATGTTTGCCAGCGTGGACCCCAAACAGTATGTTCTGGCAGTCTATGCGATACAATCTATGCGGCGCCATGTATGCGATGCGACCTGCGTAATGCAATATATGCGGTGCAATGTCTGTGGGGCAGGTGGTTTTAACAAAAGGAGCTGACACATCCCCTGCGTTTCCAAACATCCCACCCACCCACCCGCAACTTGGTTTGAAAAACCCAGCGGCGGAGATTGCGATGAGTGCTTGGCATTCGCTGGTGCATCTCTGCGGCCGCGCCGACCCAAACACGCGCGCGCAGCGGCCAGCTAGTTTGGCGCGACCGCCGCGGCCGCGGTGGCGCTGACCACTGGGCACATTCCAGCGGGCAGTTCAGTGCGAGTCGGCGACTTGGGCGGGCGCAGTATCATGGCAGCGTCGACAACAGTAGACACGATGCTGATAGTAGCGATGCTGGTTGCGATGTTGACAACGACGACGGCGCGGCCAGTGACGGCGCCGATGATGATCACGCCGACGACGATGACGGCGTTTTCGCGTCGGTGATGAAAGTTTTGGAAAGAGTTCGACACGCGCGCGCGGCCGACGCGCGAGAGTGGCCCGCATGGAATTATTTGACACGGATCGTGCCCCCCCAGCACACCCACGAGCACGCGCACAAAGGCGTGCGAACGATTTCGGCGTGCGGCGCCAGAGGCTCGCTTGGGAGAATTTCTGAAATATGTTGAGAAACCGGTGGTTTCTTAAGAATCTGCAGAAAGGTGCGAGACCATTTTTTGTTGAAACCGGATGATGCGAAAACTTGTGTGGTTTGCATATTTGTTGAGCTCGGGTTTGACATCGCTACGAAGCCTAAGGTTGTTGATTGATTCCGGCATGCGCGCGACGACTCGCGCGTGTGAGTTCCGTCCATTTGTTGCAAATTTTCTCGCGCACGCGCGCAAGACACGCGCGCGCGAAGCCCTTTTGTTTGATTGTTTTTTGAAAATGTTTCAAGTTTATTTGTTTGTTTCGCAAAGGCGCGCGCGCGCAAGCTTCTTTTGAACATCCGTGTTGCGAAACCATGTGTTGAAATGTTGTTTGGACAATCGATTTGGAAATCTTTACGAAACCAATAACGCTTTAAAGGGATTGCGGCATGAGCGCGCGACGACGCGCGCGTGCGCACTTCGTCCCGCTTTTTGCAACAAGGATTTGACAAGTGATGGGTTTTGATCAACGAATGTGCGCGCATTCGTGTTTTTGCAGAGGATGGCGGGGGGGGGAGGAGACCGGCACCTTTGGGATTGTGCGAATTCGTTTTTGGGATGGACGATGGGGCAGAATCATATGAAAATTGCAATACGAAACGGGGGGTCGATAAATCCGACCTCGGGAGGGTGGTGGATGCGTGGATGCTCAATTTTACAAAGAGAAATCAAACAGCAAACAAAAAACCTTTGCGACGGCGACGGCGGCGACGGGCGGCACCGCCCGCAAAAACCGCCACTCGCCCCGAGCGGCGGCGACGGCGACGGCGACGGCGGCGACGGGCGGCACCGCCCGCAAAAGCCGCCACTCGCCGCGAGCGGTGGCGACGGTGACGGCGACGGCGGCGGGCGGCACCGCCCGCAAAAACCGCCACTCACCCCGAGATGGCGAAACCAACCAAAAACCCCAAAGTACAAGCATTGTTCGACGAATAGCTGTTTGTGTACATTTGTTGTGTACTCATATGAATGTCGGTATGTTTGTATGTATGCATGTATATACATACGCTATATGGTTGTGCAGAAATCTGTTTATATGTATGTATTTATATATGTATACATGTATGTACGCATGTATGCAGGTACGTATGTATGGTAGTCAGCGCGGACCTCACACAGTGTGTTCCATATCATACGATGTGATGCGATCTATGTGGTGCGATCTGTGTGGCGCCATCTATGCGTTGAAATATTTGCGGGGCGAGCTATGTGGTGCAACCGACGTGGTGCAATGTATGCGGTGCAATTGATTTTTACCCACGGTTTGACACATCCCATGCTCTTGCAAACATCCCACCCACCCACCCGCAATTTGGTTTGCAAAGCCTCTTAAGACCGTGACGGTAGGTACCAAAAGGCCCTTGGCAACGACACCGACGCCGACGACGACATCGACGTCGATGACGACGACGCCGTCGACGACGACTACGACGACACCGACGACGTCTCCGACGACGACGACGACGACGACGACGACACCGACGACAGCGCCGACACCGACGCCGACGACGCCGACGATGACGACGCCGACGACGACGACGCCGACGACGACGACGACGTCGACGACGCCGACCGACGTCGACGATGACGACGGCGGCGACGACGACGACGCCGACGTCGACGACGACGAAGACGCTGACGACGCCGACGACGACGACGACGTCGCCAACGAAGACGACGACGACGATGGAGGAGGGAGGACGACGACGGCGACAACGACGACCACAACGACGAGGGAGGAGGGAGGACGGCGACGACGCGAACGA